ACAGTGCTTGAAACACTTCCTTGAGGGTACTCACTTGTTCATGTCCTTGAGCTCTGTTCACTCAAAGGCACTATTTACTCACCCCTGCGTGGCCAGACAGAACCTGGCAGATACACACGAAAGCTTGTTGACCAAAAGGAAAAAACAAAGCAAAACATCTACAAAGTATTGTAGTCAAGTCGAATCTCTTTACAGCAGCAATTGCTCAATAAATTATCATCACTATGTTACCATCACTACAGGGTAAGTGTTTCCTGTAATTGTGATGACACTCACTTCTTTCAATTTCCTGGCATTTTTCTTTCTTTTCTTTCTTTCTTTTTTTTTTTCTTTTCTTTTTGGGTCACACCTGGCAATGCACAGAGGTTACTCCTGGCTCTGCACTCAGGAATTACCCCTATCGGTGCTCAGAGGACGATATAAGATGCTGGGAATCGAACCCAGGTCGACTGCGTGCAAGGCAAACGCCCTACCCGTTGTACTACTGCTCCAGCCCCTCCTGGCATTTTCAAGCTGAAATCTGCCCCAAATTTTGGATTCCTGGGAAAAGTTCAATTTAGTATTTAAATTTTTTAATTTTTAACTTTCGTATCAACATCCAATAAGAGACCATTTGTCTTGGTAGGTAGGCAAATATCTCCAAAGAGGTGCAGGATATTAGACAAGCAATTATATTTAGGAAGCATTTGAGGCCTACTGACTGGTGATACCAAGAGTAAGGGTGTTCTGCACAGAAAAAGTATCACCTAACCTACTTAACTAAACCAACCTATTAAGTTGGACACAGTAACACTTTATAAAAATGCAATTTTTTGCATCCTATTTTTTACAATTTTGTTATCTTCTGTTTCTTTGTTTCTGTTTCTTTGTTTCTGTTTCTTTGGGGCTAGAGGGATAGCACAGCGGTAGGGTGTTTGCCTTGCACACAGCCAACATGGCCGACCCGAGTTCGATTCCTCCGCCCCTCTCAGAGAGCCCGGCAAGCGACCGAGAGTATCTCGCCCGCACGGCAGAGCCTGGCAAGCCACCCGTGACGTATTCGATATGCCAAACACAGTAACAACAAAGTCTCCAAAGGAGACATTACTGGGCCCGCTCGAGCAAATCGACGAACAACGGGAGGGCCTTTACCTTTACCTGTTTCTTTGAAGCTGCCCTACAGCCAGAGCCATCTGTCCTTTTCTGCAGCATTGGCAAACTCCAGGTAACATTCAACACACCACACCACCCCCTGCCGGAAAGGTAACTCATACTTTTCAGGTCAACAACTCTTAGGTCAGGGATGTAGCTCAGAGGTGGGAGTTTTTGCCTGGTATGTGTGACGCCTTGCGTTTGATTCTCTGCACTGACCAATAATTAAAAAAAAAAAAATATTCTAGCACGCTTCATTCCCATTAAAAAAGTATTCTAGCACACTTCATTCTGGACTCAACCATACCACAGTTTTGGGTGTCTAATTTCTCATCCTTTTACTTTATAGATTTCTGTCTCGACTTCCTGAATAAACCATCTTATTAGAATTTTATTTCAAATAAAAATAAAGCCAACAATTGAAATTGTTGAAATAAAGCCAACAATTTTTTAAAAGTTTAAATGACAACACTGGATTTTATAGATCTGGAATAATTTTCATATTAAAAAAAAAGGCAATACAGGTAGTGGCAATAGCACTAAATTTAGATTTCCATGAAAATGTGTTTCCAATCCTGGCTTACTTGTGACTGGGAAAAAAATCTAAGCTCCAGGTGCTACCACTTTTCACAATCTAAACAAAGAATTTTACCATCAATTCTCCGTCCGGCTTGCCCTCCAACTGTACACGTATACGCCAAGGAGGGGAGAAAAGTACAACAAAACACTGTAAAGAAACCAAACTGATACTTTCACAAATAAGCAATCTGTAATGGGAACGCTTAGGCTAACCCAATCCACTGTGACAGCCATTAGAAAAGCTCTGAATTGCAGTAGCAATAGAGGTTGAAAATTGCCAGGTTTACTTATTCAAGGCTGACGAAAGATTTAAAAATAAAAGGAGCACATCCCTGAAGGTTTCAATAGTTGGTGTAAGGCTGCTAAACACAAGGTCTCCTTACAATCTGAACTCACAGTAGACAAATCGCACTAATTCCTCTGCAGTCCAATCATCTTTGCTGCATGGCCGGAGGGCCTAATAGGAATCCCTTCGGATCTCGAAAAAAGTGTTGTCTCCAAAAACAATATTACCAACTTAGAAGAACATGTTAAAAGCAGAATTATGCTCCAAGCAAAAGCAATCAAGAATCTCTATCTCAAATGTAAGGCAAATCCTCATTACTTTGGAAAATATCACTGATGTTCTTAAATAAAGTAACATGTAGAAGCACTTCACAGATACTCCTTATTTTCTTTTGCTTCCTATGGGGGGAGGGGAGCGGTGGGCATACCTCCTGGTGGACTTACTCCCTGGCTCTGCCCCAGGATCACTCCTGGTGAGCTCTGGACCATAGGGAGTGCTGGGGATCGAACCCACGGCAACCTACCTCCCCATTCTGTAGAAAATTTGTTTTTAATGTGAAGTGTTTGAATTTGTTCAGACAAAGCTGATGCAGCCAGCAGGTAGGGCGTTTGCCTCACACGCAGCTGACCCAGGTTCGATTCCCAGCATCCCATATGGTCCCCTGAGCACCCCCTGGGGTTATTCCTGAGGGCAGAGCCAGGAGTAACCCCTGTGCATTGCCAGGTGTGACTCAAAAAGAAAAAAAAAAAAAAGCTGATGCAGCACAAAGATAGGCCAAAAGATAAGTCTTTCTTCCTTCGTGATATTACTTCAATGCTGTATTACCAATTACTTATGATACATTCCCTTTGGTGCCTTTGCTCCCTAAAAGTTGCCCAGTACATCTGCTGTGGTCCACTCAGAAGACACAGAAAAACAGCAGGAATACACACACACACACACACACAAAATAAGAAGAGGAAGAGGCAATAAAAGGTGAGAAAGAGACTGTAACAAGGGGAAAATGAGAGACAAAGGGAAAGAGAAAACAAGAAGAAAGGATGACAACAAAATCTGTTCTTGTAGAAGCAATGGTTCGTATTTTTAAGTGCTGTATCCAGAAAGTCAATCTTAGTATTACACAACAGAAGGCAAGAGAGGCCAAAAGGAAAAATAACTAAGAGCTGTATCATAAATATTCCAAGCGCCAACCAATTTCATTGAAGCACGCTCTTTTCTCTGACCCATATCATTAAATTTAGGTACAAGGGAAGTCAGTAAAACTGCTCCAGGCACGTCCCAGTTTTAAATAAACTATAAGATGTTGAGTATTTCGAAAATTCAGGGCTGGCAATTTCCTCACCAACCATCGACCTCAACTCCCTCATCACGAGCAGAATCTGAGGTCCTCTCCTGTCTTGTCACATCCCCAAGATCACAGTGACTGCAGGAATCCAAAGGTAGGATTCTTTGTTCAATCATCTTCCGCATCTTTTGCCCCTGACCTTACGCGGTAATAATTAACCATCAAATAAATGTAAAAGAAAGTTTTGTCGAGTACAGCAAAAGCATTCTGGTAGTCAGATCAGATCAGAAGCAATTACTTCATAGCATAGCACAGTACACACGAATTTCCTCATAAATTTATAGCCTTTACAGTGCATCAATAAAATGTCCTAACTTAAGGGGAAAACAAAAGTCCGATATTCCGAAAATCTTAACCATTTAATTAAGGAATGTAATTGTTGAAAGTTGAAAGCACCTCCCTAGATCTATGGGCTAAAAATAAGGAATATTCAACAAGGGCTATTTTTGTGCACGATTCCTTGCAGCCAAATCATTTGGTAGGTTCCTATTGCCCTTCTCTTTTCCGATTAAACAGTAACTTATTTATCAAGATTCTTCTCAAATTTCAGGCTTGGGTACTTTAAAAAAAATTAACCACAACGTTGTTTATAACCTCTCTAATACAGTGTCACCAAAATCTGAGCGCGACCCCACGGCTTTGAATGCAAGAGCTCCTGCTTCAGGTCTGGGGCCTAAAAAAAAAAACGGTGCATTTGTCTCCAGGAAGACGGGTACATTCGATTCCTAAACCCTCTCCCCTCCTTTGCCCCCCCCCACACCCACACCCGACAACCCCCAACACAACACAGACGGCTCCTACCCCTAGACAAGAAAACTTCCCAGCATGTTCCTTCGAGCTAAGGCGCAAAAGAAAAAAAATATATATATATATGCCCATCGCAGTTTGTCATTTGCACACAGATGTGTTCCAAGCTTTGTTTGAAACACAGGAGAGGTGCAGGAGAAGGGAGATACGGTCCAAGGTTGGCTCTTTTTCTTTTTTTCTTCTTCCCTCCCACTCCCATCCCCAAGCTGCAGGTGTAAATATAAGCCCATAATGTTTAGGACGCTACATATACCTGTGTGTATACATAGCATATATAGATACACGTATATACGTGTATCTATATGAATCCTTGTTTTCCACCAGGCGTCACCTAATGCCAACACACAAACAGAGGCACGTCCAACCCCCCCGAGCGCCCTCCTGCTCCCTCCCGCTTCGCGCCCGGGCAGCAACACCCCGGCGGCAAACTTGAGGCCGCGGGGTCCCAGCTCTCCTCCCCGGGGCCCCGAGCCCCTCTCCCCGGGGCGCGGCAGCCGCCGCCTCCGACCCCCGGAGCACCGCGGCGGCAGAGAACGCCCGGCGGGGGGAGCCCACCCGCAGCACCTGGAGAACAATGTAGCCCCCCTCGGCGGCCGCCGCGGGGTCGGGACTGGGGGGGGGGGATGGAAATCTGCGGGATCCCCCCTCCCTGCTCCAGCACCCGGCCCCCGGACACCCCCCTGGACTCCGCCACCCCGGGCGCCCGCTGCTGCTGCTGCTGCTGCTGCTGCTGTCGCCGCCGATGCCCTCGCGGGCAACCCCGCGCGCCGCGGCGCCCCGCACGCCCCCCACCCCACCCCCCGCCCCCCCCCCCGGCCCGGCCGGCCGCCCACCACTCCCCGCCCCCCGCACCTTTGTAGTGCACCCGCAGATTGTTCTGCGAGAGGCCGATGTAGCTGAACTTGTCCTTCGGGCTCCAGGAGCGCGGCAGCGGCGTCTCCTGCTCGTCCACGGCCGGGTAGAGGCGCTTGAGGCGGCGCTGCAGTTCCTTCTCCTGCTCGTTGAGGGCCGAGTCGCCGTGCGGGAAGGGGACCGCGCCGCCGCTGCTCGCCGTCGCCGCCGCCGGCAGGCCCGGGGCCGGGGCGCCCCCGCTGGGGCCGGGCCCCGCCGCCAGGCCCGGGGGCGCGGGGGGCGCGCTGGCGGGGGGAACGGCGGCGGCGGGGGAGGCGGCGGTAGGCGGCGGCGGCGGGGGAGGCGGCGGCGGCGCGGCGGCGGCGGCGGCGGCCGGGGGCGGCGGCGGCGGCGGCGGGTGGAGCAGCAGCGCGGCCGCCGCGGCCCCCAAGCCGCCGCCCGAGGAGGAGCCGCCGCCGCCGCCGCCGCCGGCGCCGCTGCTGCCGGGGGAACCGGCCGGAGAGGAGCCGGCGCTGGCGGCCGCGGGCGCGGGCAGGACCACTCCGGGGCCGGGGGCCACGGCCGCCGGCGGGGGCGGCAGCTGCTGCTGTTGCTGCTGCTGCTGCGGCTGTGGCTGCTGCTGCTGTGGCTGCTGTGGCTGCTGCTGCTGCTGCTGCTGTTGTTGCTGCTGCTGCTGCTGCTGTTGCTGCTGCTGCTGCTGCTGCTGCTGTGGCGGCGGCGGCGGCGGCGGCTGCCCGGACATCCCGGCCGCGACTCAGCCTGCGGCCACCACCACCACTACCTCCTCCTCCTCCTCCTCCTCTTTTTCCTCCTCCTCCTCCTCCTCCTCTTCTCTCCTTCCTCCTCCGCTTGCGGCCGCCGGCACCGAGGCGCCCAGTCCGCCCGCCCCGGAAGCAGGCGGCGGGCCGCGCGCCCGGGGTGAGAGAGCGCGACGGTTGGGGGGGCGGGGGGAGGTGGTCTCGGCGGCCGCCGAGTGCGCGTCGGGCCCGGGGAGGACCCCCCGACGCGAGGCAGCGCGGGGAGCGGCGGGCGGCCGAGGCGGGCGCGCGGCTCGGGAAGGCAAGGAAGAGGCGCGGGGCCGGCCGCCGCGGCCGCTGCTCTCGCGGCTGTTTCCCGGCGGGCGGGCGGGCGGGCGCGAGACGCTGCGCGCGGGCGGCGCTGGGCCAGGGGGCGGGGACGGAGGCGCGCGAGCGGCGCGAGGGGCGGGGGCGCGCGGCGGCGGCGGCGGCGGCGGCGGCGGCGGGGTGGGGGACGCGCGCGCGCGCAGCGGCGGCGGCGGCGGCTCCCGAGGGTCCCGCACCGACGAGCGCCTCTGGCGGCGTTTCCCCGCGCGGGGCCTCTCCGGGCGTCCGGGCCTCCGCCTCCTCCCTCCCGGCCTCCCTCCCTCCCTCCCTCCCGGGCCGGCCGCCGCTCCCCGCGCCCCGGAGAATCTCCTCCTACTTTTACTTCTTTTTGTTGTCGACGCCCCACCTCCACCCCGGAGGGCTCCCGCTGGAGCGTCGGGCCGGCTTCGCGCCCAGGCGAAAGTAATCGAGCCCCGCTGGGGCCGCCGCCAGCCCGGCCCGTGGGCGCCCACCCGGAGCGCGGGGTGGGGGTGGGGGGGCGGGGGCAACGGCTGGCCCGGTCGGGGTACGCGGAACGGGGTGGGTGGTCCTCCTCCCCCCCAAAAAAATAAATAATAAAACCCACTCCAACACCCCCCCCACCTCGGGGGGTCTGGCGAGTGCCCACGGGTGGCTCCGCGGGCTGGCCCCAGGGGGTCGTGCCAGCGCGCAGGTACCTGCAGAGGTGTCCGCACTTGGGACCACTTGGCGCTGTCAGACGGGGCAACGGAAGCCCCGTTTCTAGAGTCACCCTCACCACCACCCCCCTCCACCCAGTCTTAAAAATAATGTCCGGCTTGGTGAACTTGGGGAGGACTGGAGTGAACTTGCAGCGGTGGACGGTGTCACATTTGCGCTGGCACCTCTTTGGAGCTGGGGGACGTGAGCTGCACGGATGCCAGGCTACCGTGCGTGGCTTGGGGAAGGGCTGCTGCCGACCTCAGAACCCTTCCTAGGCACGTTCGCCCGCACAACAGGCCTCTTTGTTAGGCAACAGAGAATTGTGCCCGTTTTTGTTATTTTGCTTTTTTTTTTTTTTTGGACCGAGAAGATAATTTCACTGAGGTCAGCAGAGTCAAAAATAGGACTTCCTCCTCTGCCAGTCCCCGTGGACGGGTGGGCCTCGACGTGTCCGCTGTCTTCGAACCCTCTCACCCGGTGCAGCGAGCACTGTAATCCAATGCAGGTGATCCTTAACCTTAGCCTGCGGCAAAATGACACTTTACACGAGCAAAATAAATGATACGAATTCTCAGGAATCTATTCTTCGCTTCCAGAGTTAGGATGGTAATAGTTTGGCCAAATAGGCAAGGAGTGTTTTTGCTGAATAGCGAATTATTTATTTTGTCTTGAAAAGGGTAGGTAAATAGTGATTTAATTGAAGGCCCTCAGTGTCTGGCCAAAACTAATAAACTCATTTGGGCTAATTTTTCCCTCAATTATCCAAACAACTAGATACCCCTTTGTTCTTTAATAAAAATTAAAAAAAAAACGACAATTCTAACTACTGTCTGATGTGGTTTTTCATGATACTGCATTTTACATTACGTGATGTCATTGCCTTTAAATTGTTCTGAAACTTTCCTCCTTACAGTTACATTGAGTTAAATGCAAGTCAAGTCCTACTTAAATGTTGGCTAGCCATGGTGGAATAAAATGGGCTCCAAGCCTCATCAAACTTCCTGGAAATAATCATCAAAGTTTTATTTATGAAGCTGTACTTCTTCCTGTCAGCACCCTTAGAAGCCATTTAGAGCTTTTCATGATTTAGGAGTGGTGGAGAGAATAGAATTATCTGAGATTTCATCAGAATCTTTGTTTTAGAGGAGGGAGCTGTGTGCCCTCCAAATCACCCCTCATAAATGGGCAGCTGTGTTTGTGGGGAAGATCCTGTGAAACGGCTACTTTCTTCAAGTGGCGGAGAACCTAGTCCTTCTAGAAAACAGCGGAGTTAGTGATGGAAATGACATCAAGGTCATTTGGTGGTCCTTGGACTAGGCCCTTCAAAAAAGTCAAAGTCACGTGGCACATCTAAAATGTGTTAGCCTTGAAGGTATTTGACAAGAAGTATTGACATGAAATACGGGACATACTGAACGCCTAGGGTGAAGGGACTAGTGTGAGGAAACACCTGTTCCACCCTCTATGGAAACGGGAGTGGACCACCCCTAACCCCATCCCCTACACCTCTCCCTTCCACCTTCCAATGTTTTTGGTTTTTGGGTTTGGGTTTTGGTTTTTTTTTTGGGGGGGGGGACCACTCCCGGCCATGCTCAGGGATTACTCCTGACTCTGCACTCAGGAATATGCCCCCTGGCAGTGCTCAGGGAACCATATGGGATGCTGGGGATCAAATCTAGGTCGTTCCCCATTTGCAAGGGGACGATAACTGATGTACTATTACTCCAACTTCCTGCAATGTCTAAAAAAGATGCTCAACAATAAGGAAAAAGGCTCCTTTTGCTGCAGTGGCTCTTGAGCCAAATTTCAGACCCTATTCTGCTAAGCCTCCTGCATAGGCCTGAAGTAAGTTCAGTTTAGCCTCCCAAAAGTGTGGTTTGGGGGCCAGAGAGATAGTGCAGCAGGAAGGATGCTCACTTTGCACATATCTGACCCAAGTTCAATCCCTGGCACCACACATATGGTCCCCCGAACTCACCAGGAGTCATTCCAGATCACAAACCAGGAATAAGCCCTAGGCATCACAGGGTGCAGCCCCAAAAACAAAAATGAAAATGTGTTTTTTGAAAAAAGTGATTGTGATGCTTTCAATGACAATACAACACACAATAATTGCACATCACCCAAATCATTACCAAAATGGCCTGAAGGAAAACTCAGAAAAGGTTTCTCTAATAGATAATTAGAATGCCTAATTGAAAGTAAATTTTTATGAGGAAGGTATTGTACATTGAGGTATTTAAAAAATCTAGCTGTGGAGTTGTCCATTCTCCTTTTGTTGCTAATGGTTTCATTCTTGTGTATCATTGTCTTATTTGCAGTAACAAAGAATAGGCACTACTTCTGACTTTCTTAAGCAGAAGAAACTTGAGAGAAAGTATCACACTGTCAGAATCAGCCAGAAGGCTGCAAACAGCCAGGCCCCCAAAGCAGGTATACTGGGTGGGCTGAAAATATGCTTTGTATACAGGAAGTCTGGGTTAGATCCTCAGCCTCACATAGTCCCCTAAGCACTGCTAGAGGTAGCCTTGAAGACACAGCATAAAGTCTCCAGCACAAGTATTGAACCAGACACATTGAGTCATCCGGCCCTGTTGCCAGAAATGGTCCCTGGGCTTTGGTTGGGAACTCCTCTCTCTCTCTCCCTGCCACCAAAAAAAAAAAAATCATGGACCAAATGAGGCCAGGCCACCTCAGTAAATTGGCCAAGGACCCAACACCACCCACAGCATCTGCTGATACCTCCTCCACCATCTGGATTCTCAGCTCTACCCACAGTGTTCTCATCACTCACTTTCAAAGTTGGCCAATCCCAAGTTGCATGTCTATGTTAGGGGCTACCAGTGAACAGAGATGCTGAGCTTATCCTCTGGGTAGGTACCAGTGAACAGAGATACTGAGATTACCCTCTGGGTGGGTAGTACCAGTCGACAGAGATGCCAGCTTACCCTCTGCGTAGGTACCAGTGAACAGATAGGCCAGCTTGCCCTCGGGGTGGGAATACTCTGACCAGGGAGGGCCTGATCCTGTACATCCTCATATATACATGGAGTACTACATATGTCATCATCTTCTAAGCATGACATGACTTGAAAGAAAGAAAATACTAATCCTACCAGGAAAACAGTCATTGGTGCCAAAAGCTGAGGATTTTCCACCACCAAGAAAGAGGATTCCACACTAGGAGAGGCAGTTTTAGTAAATCACCCTGATAGTGCCCTAGATACCGGAAAATGTGAAGCCCATCTGCCTGGACCAGTTACATATTGCTTCTAGATGTCAGAAAATGTGATGCCCCATGCTGTGTTAGTTATATCTTGCAGTGCTACAAATTATCCCCATACTTACTGGCTTATAAGACAAGTTACTGTTACATGCTTTCTGTGACTCTGCAGTCTGGCCGGGTCCTCTGCTTTTGCTCACTCTGAGTGTCAGCTGGGGCTACAGTCTTCACAGCTCAGGACTTAGAAAGGCTCTGCTCAGGCCCAGTCAAGAATTCTTAGCAAGATTCCATTCTGAGGGCACCATTGGATGTAGGACCTCAGCTCCTTGCTCAGTTCCTTGTCTGGAAAGGCCCCCAATCCTAGCCAACTGGGTCTCTCCAATACATCAGGGGCTTTATCAAAATGGACACATCAAGGAGGTTCAATTCCCCAAACTATGGCCCCTGAGCACTGCACAAAGTTACTCCCACCTCTTCTCATCCCCAAATTTAACACAAAGGATGCAAGCCAAGAAAGCATTAGAATAGAAGGCACAGTCTTTTGAAACTAAACACGGGAATGAAATCCTATCACTGTGACCCTGATGCATTTAAGTAAACCCACATTCAAAATATGACCCAAGTACACAAAGACCAGAAGGCTAGAATTGTGTGGCCATCTTTAAGAGTTGCGTGTCGCTGCAATTTTCAGTGTGAGGCATTGCACATGCCACTCCCAGAAAATATATCTTTCAAACCAGGGAGTGGCAAACATTTTCTGAATGGAACGGGTAGTAACTGTTTCAGGC